CTTAGATGTCTAGTAAGAAAATAAAAAGCCTACTTTTGAGTGAAACTTATCCTAAGACATATTTATGCTTATTAGCTAAGGGAAATTTTTAGCACTGTATCTGCATCTTATTAAAATAACTGTGTTCATGATTTTTTAGTGACACCTACACATTTGTATAAATCTAAAATTAAAAATCCTAATTGGAATATTAATGCCTGTTTGGTGTTCTTAGGTGTTTATTTGGGAATATTTTCATAAATTAATGAGAAATCAACTTAGAGTTTTTTTGAGCTCTAAATAACTGTCCGAACAGTCTAGTTGAGCCTTTCGTTTTGAACCTGATGAAACTTGACTTAGGTGTGCATCATGATCTGTTCCAGGGTCACACTTTGTCACTCTAGGGACCCGTTCATCATATATGTTATGATGGTCTTTATATATAAAGAATGGGCATAGATTTTATTCCTATGAATGATGATCCTAGCATCTCACCTTTGGAGATAAAAATCTTTGAGCCTAAAAATATAGCAACTCTTGAGATCGTACCTGAGCTACGTGAGTCAAGTTTCTCACGTTGCCAAAACTGAGGACTTGGGGATAAGGTGTTAGATGAACGAGGCGTGGCAATACTGATGTGAGATCCTTTCTTCTGTTCGGAACCTCAGCTCGCTCAGTTACTGGCAGAACTGAACTCTATGCCCGATTTCTTCCCAGTACGAACCCCGAACTCCGCTTCTGTAAGTAGAACTCCTTTATAATTACTGATTCCGGTACCGATGGATAGAGTCTGTTGCCACATGGCTTTTATCCAAGGAAGCACCTGGTTGCATACGTCTGTGCTCTTGTTTTCAGAAGAAGAGAACAGCGAGGCGGGCTTTCTCAGAGGGACAGATCACCCGGCGCACGAACCCGACCCGGAGCGCACGGCCTCCCGAGAAGTTTGCCCTGGAGAACTTCACCGTCTCAGCTGCCAAATTTGCCGAAGAGTTTTATGGTTTCAGGAGAAGGAAGACAATTAGTGGGGTATTTTCTGAGCACAATAACCAGATTATTCTTGGTCTGAGCCAGTGCTGAGGCCCTGACCCAGTAGATGGGCAGCATCTCTGCCAAGTTCCCAGGTGGTGCTGGTGTTCCCGGGACCGCACTCCGAGAAGGAGCCCCCCCATCTAAGGTGAAGGCTGGAGTGAGCCCTTCACCTCCGCCGAGCAGAAGAGCTGCTCAGGGTTAGGAGCCTCAGCCTCATCTGCAGGGGAGGTGGTAAAAGCCCGTCCGTGGCACCAGGCTGCCTTGTGGTGTTGCTTGTGGGAAAGGGCAGTGATTTCTCCAGGCCTTTCAGTTGTAGGAATGGGGCATTTTCAGTGCTTTCCAAGTCTTCAGCGAGAAACGAGGTCCTTCCCATTTGCAGGTGTGGCTGTTCATTGTGGGTCACTTCCCTGTCCTCACAGAGTTTACAGCTGCGTACTACGTACTGGTCAGGGACAACTGGGGCTGTTCATTTACTGTTGTGTCTGTCACCTTGCTGTGGAGGCCGCTGACACCGTGTCTGGCAGGAGCTCCGTAAATGATGGGTTCCAGGGAAATTGAAGAGGGACATAGTTAACGTTAATGGTGTTAGAGCTCTGAGAGTGAGAAACGATTTTTTTTTAGATTTTATTTGAGACAGCATGAGCAGGGAGAGGGAGAAGCAGACTCCCCACGGAGCAGGGAGCCCGATGCGGGGCTCGATCCCAGGACCCCGGGATCACGACCTGAGCCGAAGGCAGTCACTAAACCCACTGAGCCACGCAGGCGACCCTGAGAGTGTGAAATTTTTATGTGTGTTTTTTATCCAGTCAAAACAGCTTATACCAGGTTTTGCTTTGGCTCATTTTGCAGGGGAAATGCCAGGGGTATAGACGGCGTCACCGAGTATCTTCTTTTCGGCCAGTGGAGGATATCACTGAAGAGGACTTAGAAAATGTTGCCATAACTGTTCGAGATAAAATCTATGATAAAGTTCTGGTAAATTATGTATAATGAATAATTTGCATGATTGTGATTCTAATGGGGAGTCCAAGGCACTGGTATTAGAAATCTTACAGTTTTCAAACTGTAGCTGGGCTTATCCCCTTAGGTCTTCTCCCCTCTGACAGGGTCACCTGTGACTGGGAAGGGGAAGTTGGCTAGTGCAGGAATCCTCCTCAGGAAAGGTCTCTCCGGGGGATGCATACGCTCTGTGGGAAGGCAGGTGTATAGTTTGGAAAAGCATATTTATAATAGTTACATTTTAAGCATTTTTTAAGGTGTCTGAAAAAACATACTGTGGGGTTTTTTCGTGTGTGTGCTTTTTGGTGCATATAACCATAGGAACTGAAGTTTGAATTACCTTTGCTCAGTAGGAAATGGGTTAAAATATTTTTTATTAAACTGATTTGGAGGGAGGCTTTGTGGTGGTACGCATCATTTTTTAGATGAGGCAGCGTCCTATTACTTAAGGTAGTATTAAGAGGTTTTTAATTGCCAACATTTTAACACCAGGAAATTGTATCCTAAAAAGACCCAGATCGCCGGAAGCTGGGCCAGAGCCCAGTGCTGCTACCTGGGGCTCAGGGCCATGGGGCCCGTCACTCTCTGCGGGCTCCTCCTCCCCTGCCTCAAGGCTTTCTGCTGGTCTCTCTGATCATGTCCTTCCTTCCAGACTCCTCGCCCGTCTTACCTGCCCTGATGTGTTTCTCTGGCCCCAGAAGGAAAAGTGCTTCCAGGCTTCCCGAGGGCGCTGTGGTCTGTGCCAGACAGGCCGTGCTGCTTCATGCCCACCCCGCGTACACCGCCACACGCGGTCTAAATCCCCGCCTTCCTCCCTCAGGGCAATACCTGCCACCAGTGCAGGCAGAAGACCATCGACACCAAGACCGTGTGTCGGAACCAGAGCTGCGGGGGGGTGCGAGGACAGTTTTGTGGGCCGTGCCTGCGGAATCGCTATGGGGAGGATGTGAGATCTGCGCTGCTGGACCCGGTAGGGACAGTGTTCGCCTTTGTCATGAATTGTACGGGCGGAGGGAAGCAGGTTGAAGGTGGGGCTCCCTGGGCCCTTGATCGGGGACCTGTAGCTGCAGAGCTCAGTCTACCCCTCAGCACTCTAGAGGAAATGAAAAATACGGCTTTCTTCTGGAAAGAGAGCAAGCTGACCAGTAGGACAGGAGAGAGGAGGGCGTTTTCCAGGGTCAGAGCCATGCTTTCTTACAGTTCTGGTTTGTAAGGTGGACCAGGTGCCTGGCCCTGGTCTAAAGTTTTTTCTCTGTTAATGCAGTCGACTGCTTCAGGTGTTCTAATTCGTTTAACCTAGTAAAATAGGTATATACCCTCCCTGTTCCTCGGTTCCCTCTATAATTAGGACACATGCACTTGAACCTGGGCAGTCTAAGTGCCGTTAGTTAGCCCCTGCCCTGTGTACGGCCTCTTTACTGTACGGGGTGAATACATCCTGTCACCAGTTGGCAGACGAATCTGTACTACTCAGGTGAAGTGGTTTAGGAAGTAGAAGAGGTAGAATTCACACCTAGGTCTCACTGCTCTTTTGTACTCCTAAAATTCTGCACGATTTTTGATTGTCTAATTTTCTGGGTTTCTGCACATGTGGGACGCTGGGGTGGTCAACCCGTCTGGGCCTTTGAAACCTGTGAAGGAAGGAGACATGTTGGGCACTCTGTGCCATCTCCTAGAAGGAGCCTGGGCCTCACGGTGGGAGGGGAGGCCTCGTGAGCCGGGTCAGAGCACAGAGGTGACGGTGGGGGTGGGGGGGGCGGCGCTGCTCTTCCAGGATTGGATGTGCCCCCCCTGCCGCGGGATCTGCAACTGCAGTTACTGTCGGAAGCGTGACGGCCGCTGCGCCACGGGAATCCTCATTCACCTGGCCAAGTTCTACGGTTACGATAATGTTAAGGAATACCTGGAGAGGTAGGTCTCCCAAAGCAGAACAGAGGCTGTGATCCCCAGAAACCCTCATGCGAGGGCCAACCATTCCGTGTCTGCTCGCGTGGGAGAAGCTCAGGACTGCCGGTCCCCCCCCACACACCCCCATTGTGTAGAACAGACGGGAAACAGCGTTGCCCTCCAGAGCTCAGTTTTGGAGTGAGGCATGGGGACTCCTGCACCCTGGCTGCAGGGTCTACTGTCACGGAAGCAGGACGAGGCAGCAGAAGCTCTGCCGCTGGGCTCCATACTCTGGGTGGGGGGTTGAGCCTGGAACGCAGCTCCATTTGCCTCCATGCCCTGTGCACTAATGCCTCCGTGCCCTCTTGCTCTCAGCTTACAGAAGCAGCTGGTAGAAGACAACTGAGAGGAGGACTGGCCAGCCGGACCTGCCATGCCACTTGGGCCTGAGATTTCTTACAGTTGTGTTTTTATACAGAAATTCTTTGTAGATCTAAATACTATTTTTTTTTTAAGATTGTTTATATGCTTAAAAAGATTTCTCAGGAACACGGCACAGCAGAGGAATCTCTATGCATGTATCCATAGGCCCCTACGTATAGTGAATTGTTTAAAAGCATCTGCATACGATGAAAAAAAGCAGGTTTAAACGGGGTGGAGTTAAAAGTCCAGGTAAGTTCCAGAGAAAACCTAGTATAAGCAGCTCTTGCCTTTGACACTGTTTATCTGTGTGGCCTTGATCTTTACCTCCAGTCCGGGACCACATAGTTAACCCTTCTTGGGGTCATTGGAATTTAAAATTACAAAGTGCAATTAATCGTAGATCTTGAGAGTAGTAGAGTTTTATTTTTATGAAAACGTGAATAAACAGGAAGTAGACTGGCACGTTACCGCTCGGAGGGCGGCGGGAGCGGCTGCCCACAGTGTAAGCATGTCAGGGCTAAATCTTAATTTAAAAAGATTTTGTTTAAGGTCTGCAAGAGCTAAAATCCCCCTTCACTGATGGGGAGACTTTTTTGTTTAAACACCATCCTTAATAGTTAGGGAAGTGGGAGGAGGGTCTGTAGCTGTCAGTAGAAGGACCCCCCCCCCCCCCCCCCCCCGCCTCACGCCTCGAGCAGCAGAGCCGCGCCTGCCAGGACCCACTTGGCCGTCTTGTCTGAGCTCTTCAGCCGGAAGGTCCACACGTAGTTGGAGCCCCTCAGTTTGGTCTTATACACGGGGCATTCATACGTGTCTTTGATTTCTTGTTTGTCCGTGGGGACGGCTTTGGCAAAGATGACTGGCATCACCGAGGTGACCTCCTTGAGGCAGGCTTCCACAATGCTTCCTGACTGCGTGTCCCATCGGGCACCTGCCGCAAAAGCACAAGGGTTGCAATAGTATGACATGTTGGTACCGCTCCTCTCCCTGTTGGAGGCAATAAATGTTTGGTTTTTGGCACGTTACTGCTTGTCAGGGGCTTTCTTACCGCGGGGGGAGGGTGGGTTAGCTGCTCCCCACCTGCCCCGCACACCCTGGAGGCAGAAGTCATGGCTCCCCACCTCCGCTTCCCTTTGAATAAACGCAAAAATAAAAACGTTCTATAGGAATCCAGGCCCAGTAGAGCCAATGAGTTCCTCCTCTCTTAAAAAGACAGAAGTCTCTAATTCAGTACATTCCCTCATCACCCGCACCCCCCCCCCCCCTTAGAGATTCACAATGTGCACTGGCATCTTCAGGGCTTAAAGAAGTCTTGTAGTAAAGTAGCAATTAAGTTGCTTTTTTTAAACTAAGATTTTGAATTAAATCTGCATCTAGTGTGACCACCACAGGGTAATTTCAGGCCTACACTGAATTAAGTGACAGCCATCCCCCTAAATGCCTTAAAATTTGGCTCACCTTGAATACAGAATCTGGTATAAAATTTTGTGAAACTGGGAAACGAGGTGACTAAACACTAGATACAAGTGACTGCAAGCAGAGAGGTGTGGGCAGGGGAGTAAACAGGGCAAACACCAACCCGGACTTAAGAGAGGTCCTTCATGGGTGCCTGGGTGGCTCAGTCGGTTAAGCGACTGCCTTCGGCTCAGGTCATGATCCTGGAGTCCCGGGATCGAGTCCCGCATCGGGCTCCCTGCTCAGCAGGGAGTCTGCTTCTCCCTCTGACCCTCCCCCCTCTCATGCTCTCTGTCTCTCATTCTCTCTCTCTCAAATAAATAAATAAAATCTTAAAAAAAAAAAAAAAGTCCTTCACGTACTAACCATACAGGTGCTCCTCATGGTGTAGCTTACCTTCCATGACGAGCCCGTGGAGATAGGCACCTTCCCGTGGAGGATGGCCGTAGTCTTCCTTCGTTTTTTTGGTAACATCAACAGTCAAGCACGTTTTATCCAGTGGCCACCCGTTTCTTCGAGCCATGGTCTGCATGATTGCTGTGGGAGGAGAAGGAACAGGAAGATTCGCAGGAGCCGGCAGCAGGCTGCCCACGGACCCGCGGCATGCTTCCGGCCACGGTGGGGGCAGGTGGCCGCACTAGACCAAGGCCAGCAGAGGCCTGCTCTGGTGGAACAGCCACACCCAGTGGGTTACGTATCGTCGGGGTTTTGCACTGTCGTGGCAGAGTGGAGCCGTTGGGAAAGGGGCCACGTGGCCCTTGACAGAAAATGTTCACTAGAGTGAACCACATCCCACCTCATGTGGCCGTTCCGCTGCGAATTTTCCTCCCTCTCTCCTCCACTCTCTGTACTGGCCCGTGTGAGCACTGGGGAGCAGGGCAAGAGGGGCTAGCAGCCCTTACCAGTTAAGAAGGACTGAGGGTTGAAGAAGCCAGAAAGCCACACCACAGCCGGGAGGGCAAGATCGTGGGTCCAGGTTTCGAGTTCCCGGCATCGCAAAAGGAGGTCACTAAACCTGGTAAAATACAAGGGAGGAAGAAACAAACATGCTCTTCAGTGACAGTTTTCCAGTAAGATGAGGTAGATTTGGGGGAAGATGGGATAGATACACCACTGATAACCAAGAAAATCCTTACCTAATGATTTGCAGAACACCGTCCCTTTAAAAAGCTAGATTTTTTTTTATTCCTGTTGAAATTTTGTAACTATTACCATTAGGAACAAGAAACATGGGAATGTGGAAAATTCATCTCCACTTACTGAATGATTTTAGGGATGGGTGGTGATCACACACAAGTGACAGGCTCCAGCGCAGAGTGAGGACAGGGTGCGCGGGAACGCAGGTGCGCGTGAGGATGGGCAGGGGAAGGCTGCCGGGACAGGCAGGGGCGAGGAGACAGGTAATGAAGAGGAATAGCACCTGCCCGCCTCTGCATGCCTGTGGTTTGAGCGAGTGCTGTTTTTACCCAGGCTCTGAACTCATCGGCACAATTATGCAAGGGTGGAAGCCGACTCCCAGAGGCTACGGGAAAATGAACCTCTTTGATAAAATCAGACATGTCAAGCCTTGAAATGTAGAACTGAGGGCTGCCAGAAAGAGAAGCTGGAGCGGGGGTAGGAGATGGAGGACAGCCCCGCGATCAAAGCTGGCAGGCAGTTCTCCAGGGGGAGGGCCACACAGGCTAGCTCCGAAGTTTTGTGGGACCTGGTTTGGTTAAGGATTACAAAAGTAGCAGGACTGACATTCACAGAGAAACTTGGGTCACCACCGTGAAAATTCCTGCCATCTTAGGACATGGCCCTTCCTGCCCCATTTAAATTCTTTCAAATAGCTGGTTTAGGGAAAACCTACTTGAAGATAGTTAAGGTGAAGAACAGGAGCAGCAAAGATAGGCAAAAAAGGGAAAAAAAAGACGTTTTATCTAAAAATGTTGCCACAGGAGGATAGGGATTGTAGCCAATTTCCAACAAGTTTTTAAAAAATGATTTTGCCCGTACAAGTAGGATTAAGGTTTGGAAGTGATGAGGTAAGAAAAAGACATTAAGTAGAAAGATCTCAGAGTAAGAAAAAGTGAAATGGGATGAAAGTTGAATACAATTCTAGGAAATTTGATTTTTCCTCAATTACAAATTTGACTCTAAAATCAGGGACATGCCATGTTTCAAGAAAATTTGGCCGCAAATAATCAATACTAAGATATATCTTAATATAGACCGAGGACAGAATCCTAGGAAAAAACACGAAATTTTTTTTTCTCTATAAATTAGCGGCAAACACGTCCCCAGTAGCATTTGATCAAAGAATGCCGGGCTGCCTACAAAGCCCCCCAATGATTGGGTTAAATTTTTTTTTATAACCCACCAGCCTGTCGTTTGAGGATGAAGACAATTGGTTATATGGTATAAAAAGCTGGCACCAAATCCAGCGAACAAGAAGGTTGATAACCCAGCAAATAAAAATAGAGGAATCTGAAAAAAGGTCTCTTACTTAATATGTTTAAATTCCTAAAAACTAGAGTAATAGTCATAAAAACAGGAATTTATGAAACCAAGTCTGGTACCTCCCCTGCCCCCAATATAAAGAATGTGGAATTGAAAATTGATTTTGGACAATGAAATTTTAAAAGTCAAGGGGAGACACAGTAAACTGGAAACAGGTTTCCCCCCAGGACCGACGAAATCAACCAGAATACAGCAGAGCAAGACATAGATTGAAAATACAAGATTTCAGGTAGGTAAATAAAATGAAGACAATGGGGGAAGGCAGTATTTGGAGAAATAAGGGCTAAGAATTTTTCAGAGTGGAAACAATAGGTAAACTTACACATAACTACACACAGTACCAACGGGGATACATTTAAAAAAGTCCACACGTAAATTAGTGAAATTGCAAAACATCAAGGGTGAAGAGAAAAATCTTAAGAATGTCCCAGAGAGAAAAGATTAGTTGTGAAGGGATGACAAGTACATTTAAGAACAGTCTCATCAGCTATAATAAATGCTAGAAACCAATGGAGGTACCAAACCACAGGGCTGCGAGAAAATCATCGTATCCTAGAATTGTACATGTAGGTAAACTATTTTGAGCGAGAGTGCAGTAAGGGAGATTCAGATACACAAAGAACCCTATTTACTTCCCACCACATACCCTGAAAGCCCTTCAGCAAAAAGGTAAGAGGGCCCAGAACAAAGGAGCCCAGAATGAGATACAAAAAGTAACAATGAGCGAAAAAGTCAATATATGTTGTTAAAGCAAAAATAATTGACTATATAAACAAAAATACTATGGTTTAAAATAAGGTTGAATTACAATTGCAGACCAGAGGAGGCTGGCGTTCAGAGGAGGTTAAAAGTGTTGACTTTACATTGTGTTAGAAAAATCAAGTGTGTAGGTTACAGTGAAGTGTCTCTGCTAAAATAATAGGAACTGTACAGGGATAAACATGGAATAAAGAAAACTATTAGGGGCGCCTGGGTGACTCGGCTGGGTGTCTTTTTTTTTTTTTTTTTTAAGATTTTTATTTATTTATTGAGAGAGAGAATGATAGCATGAGAGAGTGGAGGGTCAGAGGGAGAAGCAGACTCCCTGCCGAGCAGGGAGCCCGATGCGGGACTCGATCCTGGGACTCCAGGATCATGACGTGAGCCGAAGGCAGTTGCTTAACCAACTGAGCCACCCAGGCGCCCTGGGCGTCTGACTCTTTGATACCCGCTCCGGTCTTGATCTCAGAGTCATGAGTTCCAGCCCCATGTCGGGCTCCACACTGGGCATGGAGCCTACTTTAAAAAAGGAAAAAGGTGGGGGAACCCAAACTATTAAATGGACAGAAGCCAGAAAAAATTGGAATAAAAGAAGAAAAATACAGAAATTAGAAGGCACAAAATAAGATGGTAGTTATCATAAAATTTATTATAAAATTTAAGTGTAATATATTTTTGATTGGAAATAGAAAATCTGATTTTGGACATCCCCAGCATTCACAGAAAGCCAGTCAGTAGCTCTGCTCTGCTCTTCCCCGCCATGGTCCTTTGCTGCCATCTGTGTCCCTTCCACGTCGTACCTTCCGTTCTTATGTTTGCACACGGCCCACACAGCCAACACTTGGCTGCCTGGCGGGCAGTTCCAAGGTGCAGTCATTTGAAAATGTTTTAAGATTTTGTTTAAGTAATCTCTAGTGCCAACATGGGGCTCGAACTCACAATCCAAGAGTCGCAGGCTCTACCGACTGAGCCAGCCAGGTGCTCCTCATCTGGAATTCTGATAGAGCTTTCCAGTTTAAGGCTCAGAGTAGCATTCTGGTTCATGGTAAGAAGACAGGAGGAAAGCAAGGATAAAAAAATTTCGGTACGGAGAAGACAGGAATAGAGAGAATCTTTGAAACTTCCTGTGTTGACTACGAAGACCAAGGAGCAGTTGGAGAGAGCACTAGCCGTCAGGGAGCTATGAATTTCGGCCCCAGCTTTGGAACACCTCTTCGCACTCACACCCACACACTCAAGCAGTCAGATTTACTGTATACTGTAAATTTTTTTTAAGATTTCATTCACTTATTTGCCAGAGAGAGTGCGCACAAGCAGGGGGAGTGGCAGAGGGAGAAGCAGTCTCCCTGCGGAGCAAGGAACCTGATGTGGGGCTCGATCCCAGGACCCCGAGATCGTGACCTGAGCTGAAGGCAGACGCTTAACTGACTGAGCCACCCAGGCGCCCCTCTACTATAGTCTTTTTAAAAAAGTTAGCTATGAGGGGTGCCTGGGTGGCTCAGATGGTTAAGCGTCTGCCTTCGGCTCGGGTCATGATCTTGGGGCCCAGGGATCAAGTCCCGCGTCGGGCTCCCTACTTGGCGGGGAGCCTGCTTCTCCCTCTCCCTCTACTGTTCTCCCTGCTTGTGCTGTCTCGCTCTCTCTGTCAAATAAATAAATCTTTAAAAGAAAAAAAAGTTTAAAAAAAAAGTTAGCTATGAAATGGCATTGGTAATCACTAGCTTTGAAAATAAGCATATGAAGTGACATGAAAGCAAACTCAAGTTGCCTCCCATGGCTATTTAAATAATGGTGGAATTTTATTACCTACATTTTTCAGATGATAGAAATTAGGAAGATCAGGTATTTTGTCCAGGACCAAACAATTTGATTCTTGCTTTGACCCTACCTTCTCACTGATTTTTGCCTTTAAAGCAACACACAGAAGAAACTCAAGTGAAAGTGGTGGTACTCTGTTTGCAGCATCACAGGCCAGGTATACTCACAAAGTACACTCTTCATAGTTGTTCCAACACAACTGTAACTGAGAACACTGAACCAGCACCCAGATGGATAATGGCAGGGGGAGCAGTGAGGGGGCAGCTTACCACTGGGCCAGGCTGTATGTAGATGGATAAGCCAGTTTGCTCCAAGTGTCTGGGACTGTGTCATAACTCAGCTGGGACTGCTGGGCTTCCATCTCAGGAGATAAGGTCAGCTCCCCCTTGCATGGAGAAGAGAGGCCACAAAGTCAGTGTCCCCCCACGTGGTGACGCCAGTTCTAGTACCACTGTTAAACTTACCTTGTAACCAAGGTCTAATTGTTGAAGGGACACACGGATTTCCCGCAGGAGAACATTCATCCTTTCACACTCTTGGAAGCAAACAAGAACATAGGGGCTTCTGTTTGAGCTTTTTTGCATTATCTCCACCATGTTGAACTCTTCTGGAAGTTTGTCCAAAAGGTCATCCAAAACATTCTTAACCTTAAATCATTAACACACACAAGATTGAGCTCGTCTGTGTTTCATTTTTAGTTACAGGGACTATGCCCTTGATTTTTCAAAGTCCCAGAATATATTCTACAACTCCTGAAGATGCTTACTAATGCTTTTAAAAGATAGCCACTGCCTCCTGGAGATGGGCAGACAGGCACTCTGACTAGCTCAACTACCTCTGCATCAGTGCAGCCCTCCCCCCTCTGTAGATCCCATCAGGAAGGAGCTACTATTTGTCTGCAGTTTATTCACTGTTAGCATTTAGGGAATAGAACGGTCATCAATGACATTTCACTTGTACATAAAGATAAAATCAGAGGAAGTAGAACCCCAATGTTTAGGTATTACAGTTTGTAATCTAATGCTAATTGAAGGAAAAAAAAAAACATTTGAAAAGTCACATGAACCAAAAATGCCCTTTAGGGTTGAGCTAATTCTGGTGAGTCTATGATGTTGCCCTCCCAACTGACATAGCCTAAAATTTTAAGAGCAGTTTGGATCCACATTTTCAACAGCAAGGGAGCCCCTGTCTTCTTCAATTATTGCCTTGAAGAAATAAAAGATTTATACATTAAAGATGTGAAAATGTATGTAGTACTTCAATGTACATATTTTTTCTTTTAATGAACTGGGGAAAACCAACAGATACCTAAAATAGACAAAAGTTTTAAGGGTATTGCCTGTCTTTAGCCTTAAGCAGCTTTCACTCTTTCCTCAGCTTCTTGGATTACTGCCTGTGGTTCTGATATCCTAATCCCAAATTGCTTTAGCACCCTGGCAGGTTATTTTTCAGGTCCTGAAATCTTAAACTCATCTGCAGCAGCTGTAGAAAATATGAAACAGTGTAGTAGGCAAGTTAGGTAGAAGAATGGCTTTTGGAATCAGCTGGAGCTTGGTTTCCTTCATTGGCCCTTTCTAGCTGTCTGACAAGTCAGTCACCTAAACCTAATTCTGGAATAGGGATCTTGATACTACTTCGAGCCATTGAGGATTAAGTGGCTTATTTGTAAAGCACTTCCTTTAGTGCCTAGCATATAGTAAGCACCCAAAAGAGTCGTCGCTACAATCTGTTTGCCATGTTGAAGCATCTAAAGATCATTTGCTTTGCAGTTTCTGGTTTAATGGTCAGCTTCTTTGTTGGAAAGATTGAAGCCCCAAAACTAAATGAAGACTTCATCCATCTCTCTGCTTCTATTAATACTATAGCTTTTCCCAAATGGATGAATGTTTCCTTTTGTATCTTAAAAAAAAAAAAAAAAAAAAAGTCTAACATTCATACAAGGAAAATGTTAGTATAGAGGATAAAACACCCCACAACAAATCCTAAAGCCTCTAAATGACAACCAAGGGCCTCAACAAATGGCCCTATTTCAAGAAATAATATGGAAAATTCCTCGGACCTCGCTATAATTAAATCTGATGGTTAGTGTTTTCCAACAACCCGAATCCTTGTCAATCAAATCCTGATTAAATGGGGGAGGGAAATAAGGGCTAATTTATCTGGGGGGTGGAATAAACTAAATGTAAAAAAAAAAAAAGCATTTGATGTCTATTTCTCATTCCTGTCATTCTAGGACAATATATACCTTCAAATGAATAATGCCAGTCTCCCAAGATAATGTAAGAAAGACACCATAACAAAATGACAGAGCCAAAAAACACAGAGTGAAAGGCAAGTCATAGATTTGGAGATGTTTGCAATACAGCTATCTGAAAAAGGATGTATGTTTAGAGTCCTTACAAATCTGTAAGAGAGACATTGACAACTCAATTAAAAAATGGGCAAGCAACTGGAACAGGCACTTGATATAAGATTACATCCAGATGGCCACGATCATAGGAAAAGATGCTCAGCATCACTCCTTGACTAAGGAACGCAAAGTTAAAAACCACAAAGAATTACTACCATTAACACAACCCCAAGGACAGAGAACAGGTGAAACTTGCACACTGCTGGTGGAAGTGTAAGTGGTCCAAACACTTCAGAACTGCTTGGGAATATCTACTGAAGTTACACATTACACCCCACAATCCAGCAATTCCACTTCTGAGGAAAGAGGGGTGAGGAGTATGGGGGGACACCTTTGAAAGTTGCTTGTGCTGGTTGACAAAAGACTACAAGAATGTTCATGGCTGTGCTAAGTCAAAATAGTGAAAAACTAGAAATAACCCAAACATCCATCTACTGTAGAATGAATAAAGCATGAACTGTATATTCATATAACAGAATACTAAACAAAAATGAGTCACTGGCCCATGCAACATGGATGAATCTCATAAATGTAGAAAAGGAGCTGGACACATATCAGTACCTATTGTATGAATGCATCCATTTGACACTGAAACACAGGCAAAGCTAGTCTATGGTGATAGAGGTAAGAGTGGTAGTTATGTCTGGACAGCAGGGGGAGGGATATACTGACCCCGAGTGTTGGAAATGTTAAGTATTTTTATCTGGGTGATGATTATATGGGCATATGGAAAGGGAGAGAAAACCATCGAGTTGTACACTTAGATCAGTGCACTTCACTGTTAGAGCTGAACAGAAAAGAAAGACCTTCTACCTTCTCTTCTGTGGACTGCCCCAGCTCCTCACTGATGAGTGCATTCCTGGGCTGCAGCTCCAGCAACGTTCTGAAGAGAGTGTTGGACATCACGGTCAGGAATTCTATTTCAGCATTTGGGTGGAGGCCATACAGTGCTGGACTTTCTGGAGGAAGTTTCTCCTCTATGTACTGATGGTAGCCCGAATAATCTAGATTAGGTGGGGCTGCAAATCCTGGTGCCAGCATAAATTCATCTTCAATCTTAAACCACAAAGGGAAAAAGTCCGTTATTACAAGTCTAAATGGAAACCAATCTTTGCATCCTAAGACACTTTGAGAACACTCTTGATAAGAATGTCCAGCGCAATGCTGGATGGGTAGCAGGCTCTCTCAAATGTTTCATGATGCTTTTGTAATTGATCATTTTGCCCCCGTGTATAGTACCAGGTTGACCTCTGGGGAGGAGTCCAAGGAACACACGCGAATCCTTGCCCCAAGGAGACGGGAGTCTGCAGTTTGCTTGGGGCAACGTGATACATGCACACAAAGGAATGACTGGGTGCTGAACCATCTACTGCGTACTGGTCACCCTGTCACATGCTCCAAGTCACTGATTCTCCCAAACCTCTGCAAACATTCTGCAGAGAGAAATCGAGCCTCAGAGTGACTTCCCCAGGCAAGAGGTTTGATTTAAATCTTAATTCTGAACTCACTTCAGTAGGACTCTATAGGCTTTGCTTTCCTAATGTACATACTTTCCACAGCACTGCTTCAAATTATTTTATATGATATATATGCATGTTATAAACACAGAGTTATATGTACACATACTGAAAAACAGGACTGTGCATATGTAACATTTTATAGGGCAGTATATACAAAGAGTCCTATCAGTGCTACCTCTTTACCTTTGAGCTACTCGGGGCAGAGTCAGTGTTGCTCATCTCAAGATCCACAGACCCCGGGACAGTTGCTGGCACATACTGGTGCTCAGGGAATGAGGTACAAGTGCCTCATGAATGAAAGACTGGACTGATAAGGCATTTATCATGCCCGTCTACTTCATTAAGGCTTGGGTAGAGCGTAGACATTCCATGTAGAGGAAGGTTCTTAACAAAGGCAATGTGAGTAGCAAGACCAAACCTAAATATGTGAATGTAGTTCTTCTAACAAAAGAATTTATGGACCTGGTTCTCTCACCAACCATAAACACAGTCGAGTGCTTATAATTTTCTAGTTCACTCAGCATCATCTCAGATTTCTTCCTAATTGCTTTTAGTTCCCAGGGGCCATAACCAACTTTGTTTTCATTTTCCCAATCTCTCTTGTTATAAATTCTGTCTAGATATGCTTACATGTACAGAGGGATACTTTAAAAAACACCTAATGTAGCTATTTTATGACAAGATTTTCTAAATCATTCCTTGAAATTGGGGTTTTCCTCTATAATTGTGTATGTTATGCCATCTGGTCCCCTCACTATCACTCAAAGTATTCACAAATTCTTATTCAATACTATGTACTCACCACCTAGTGTACCCCAACAAACCTTGGAAGTGTACCAGGTCCATCTACCCTAGTTCTTAAGAAACTCCCAGTCTGGTGGGGAAAAGGAAGTGATTTTCTACACAACCAAGTCATCTGTGAGTACTGAGAGTTTGTTCCTTCTCAGACCCGCAATCATCGGTTTCCAGAGAGCCTGTGTCCTTACAGACGAAGCTCAGTGGTGGGCTGTGAATTCCAAAAGGCGTTTTAAATCTTTGAGTCAGCATTTCTTTTTGGCGCTAGGAAGATTTCCAAGTTAATCTAATCTTTCATTTTGTGAGAAACAGAAATCTGGACCAACGAATGTGAGAAGGAGCAACTTGGACCATCCCCCCACCGGTATCTATTAGCGTGGTTTATTGCACTCATTTATCCGCATTTTCTATCATTTCATTCTTTTTTATTTTTAATTCTTATGTTAATCCCCATACATTACATCATTAGTTTTAGATGAAGTGTTCCATGATTCATTGTTTGTGCATAACACCCAGTGCTCCATGCAGAATGTGCCCTCCTCAATACCCATCACCAGGCTAACCCATCCTCCCACCCCCTTCCCCTCTAGAACCCTCAGTTTGTTTTTCAGAGTCAATCGTCTCTCATGGTTCGTCTACCCCTCCGATTTCCCCCCCCTTCATTCTTCCCCTCCTGCTACCTTCTTCTTCTTTTTTTTTTTCTTAACATATATTGCATTATTTGTTTCAGAGGTACAGATCTGAGATTCAACAGTCTTGCACAATTCACAGCGCTTACCAGAGCACATACCCTCCCCAGTGTCTATCACCCAGTCACCCCATCCCTCCCACCCCACCCCCCACTCCAACAGTTTGTTTCCTGCGATTAAGAATTCCTCATATCAGTGAGATCATATGATACATGTCTTTCTCTGTTTGACTTATTTCGCTCAACATAATACCCTCCAGTTCCACCCATGTCGTTGCAAATGACAAGATCTCATTCCTTTTGATGGCTGCATAATATTCCATTGTATATATATACCACCTCTTCTTTATCCATTCATCTGTCGATGGACATCTTGGCTCTTTCCACAGTTTGGCTATTGTGGACATTGCTGCTATAAACATCGGGGTGCACGTACCCTTTCGGATCCCTACTTTTGTATCTTTGGGGTAAATACCCAGTAGTGCAATTGCTGGATCATATGGTAGCTCTATTTTCAACTTTTTGAGGAACCTCCACACTGTATTCCAGAGTGGCTGCACCAGCTTGCATTCCCACCAACAGTGTAGGAGGGTTCCCCTTTCTCCGCATCCCCGCCAACATCTGTCGTTTCCTGACTTGTTAATTTTAGCCATTCTGACTGGTGTGAGGTGGTATCTCATTGAGGTTTTGATTTGGATTTCCCTGATGCCGAGCGATATTGAGCACCTTTTCATGTGTCTGTTGGCCATTTGGATGTCTTCTTTAGAAAAATGTCTGTTCATGTCTTCTGCCCATTTCTTGATTGGATTCTTTGTTCTTTGGGTGTTGAGTTTGATGAGTTCTTTATAGATTTTGGATACTAGCCCTTTATCTGAGATGTCATTTGCAAATATCTTCTCCCAATCTGTCGGTTGTCTTTTGGTTTTGTTGACTGTTTCCTTTGCTTTGCAAAAGCTTTTTATCTTGATGAAGTCCCAATAGTTCATTTTTGCCCTTGCTTCCCTTGCCTTTGGCGATGTTTCTAGGAAGAAGTTGCTTCGGCTGAGGTCGAAGAGGTTGCTGCCTGTGTTCTCCTTTAGGATTTTGATGGACTCCTGTCTCACATTGAGGTCTTTCAACCATTTGGAGTCTATTTTTGTGTGTGGTGTAAGGAAATGGTCCAGTTTCATTCTTCTGCATGTGGCTATCCAATTTTCCCAACACCATTTGTTGAAGAGACTGTCTTTTTTCCATTGGACATTCTTTCCTGCTTTGTCGAAGATGAGTTGACCATAGAGTTGAGGACCCATTTCTGGACTCTCTATTCTGTTCCACTTATCTATGTGTCTGTTTTTGTGCCAGTACCATGCCGTCTTGATGATGACAGCTTTGTAATAGAGCTTGAAGTCCGGAATTGTGATGCCGCCGGCTTTGCTTTTCTTTTTCAACATTCCTCTGGCTATGCGGGGTCTTTTCTGGTTCCATACAAATTTTAGGATTATTTGTTCCATTTCTTTGAAAAAAGTGGATGGTATTTTGATGGGGATTGCATTGAATGTGTAGATTGCTCTAGGCAGCATTGACATCTTCACAATATTTGTTCTTCCAATCCATGAGCATGGAACGTTTTTCCATTTCTTTGTGTCTTCCTCAATTTCTTTCATGAGTATTTTATCGTTTTCTGAGTACAGATCCTTTGTCTCTTTGGTTAGATTTATTCCTAGGTATCTTATGGTTTTGGGTGCAATTGTAAATGGGATGGACTCCTTAATTTCTCTTTCTTCTGTCTTGTTGTTGGTGTATAGGAAAGCCACTGATTTCTGTGCATTGATTTTATATCCTGCCACTTTACTGAATTCCTGTATGAGTTCTAGCAGTTTTGGGGTGGAGTCTTTTGGGTTTTCCACATAAAGTATCATATCATCTGCAAAGAGTGAGAGTTTGACTTCTTCTTTGCCGATTTGGATGCCTTTGATTTCTTTTTGTTGTCTGATTGCTGTGGCTAGGACTTCCAATACTATGTTGAATAGCAGTGGTGATAGTGGACATCCCTGCCGCGTTCCTGACCTTAGGGGGAAAGCTCTCAGTTTTTCCCCATTGAGAATGATATTCGCTGTAGGTTTTTCATAGATGGCTTTTATGATATTGAGGTATGTACCCTCTATGCCTATACTCTGAAGAGTTTTGATCAAGAAAGGATGCTGTACTTTGTCAAATGCTTTTTCTGCATCTATTGAGAGGATCATATGATTCTTGTTCTTTCTTTTGTTAATGTATTGTATCACATTGATTGATTTGCGGATGCTGAACCAACCTTGCAGCCCAGGGATAAAGCCCACTTGGTCGTGGTGAATAATCCTTTTAATGTACTGTTGGATCCTATTGGCTAGTATTTTGGTGAGAATTTTTGCATCCATGTTCATCAGGGATATTGGTCTGTAATTCTCCTTTTTGATGGGGTCTTTGTCTGGTTTTGGGATCAAGGTAATGCTGGCCTCATAAAATGAGTTTGGAAGTTTTCCTTCCATTTCTATTTTTTGGAACAGTTTCAGAAGAATAGGTATTAATTCTTCTTGAAAGGTTTGGTAGAATTCCATGGGAAGATGGGAAGCCATCTGGCCCTGGGCTTTTGTTTTTTGGGAGATTTTTGATGACTGCTTCAATTTCCTTAGTGGTTATAGGTCTGTTCAGGTTTTCTATTTCTTCCTGGTTCAGTTTTGGTAGTTGACACATCTCTAGGAATGCATCCATTTCTTCCAGGTTATCTAATTTGCTGGCATAGAGTTGCTCATAATATTTTCTTATAATTGTTTGTATTTCTTTGGTGTTGGTTGTGATCTCTCCTCTTTCATTCATGATTTTGTTGATTTGGGTCATTTCTCTTCTCTTTTTGATAAGTCTGGCCAGGGGTTTATCAATCTTGTTAATTCTTTCAAAGAACCAGCTCCTAGTTTCGTTGATCTGTTCTACTGTTCTTTTAGTTTCTATTTCATTGATTTCTGCTCTGATCTTTATGATTTCTCTTCTCCTGCTGGGTTTAGGCTTCATTTGCTGTTCTTTCTCCAGCTCCTTTA